TGCGATTTTCAGATTGTTGAAACACCGTTATACACCTTGTTCCAAATTATTATGCACATGCCATTTTTGTTTGTTTTTCCAAATCAGTCATATGATTAAGGATTCATTTTATCATCAACTATTATTTTACAATGATAATGTTATTAAATGTGAAAGAACTGATAGTCAACAGTTTTATTGATATTTTGAAGAAAAAAAAATGCTGTTCCAAATAATTATGCAGAATGCAGTTTGAAAACATTCAGTGGGTTATAATGAACTCAAAACAGACATCTATCATATGTGCTGCATGGTCAAATCATATTTCCAAAAATAAACACCACTTAAAACAAAAAAAAAAACTATTTACAGTTCAAGTTACATATTAATATATGCACCCTTCTTGGAGATGACTTTAACAATTCTCTCATCCATTGAACTTGTAAGTCCATGTAGCCTATAGTTTCTGGCAGTATTTCATTTGAGGATGCCAGTATTGCCTCCCAGAGCTGTTGTTTGGTGGTATACTGCTGCACACCCTCATAGATCTTCATTTTAAGGATGCTCCACAGGTTCGCAATAGGATTGAGGTCAGGGGATGATGGTGGCCACACCATGATTTTTTCTCTTTTTATGCCCATAGCAATCAAGGAATCAATGGGTTTTTTTTGCAGCATGGGATGGTGCGTTATCCTGCATGAAAATCATTTCAGAAGGCAAGATTCTTCTTTCTATGCAATAGCAGAAAATGGTCTGTTAGGAACTCCACATATCTTGCAGAGGTCATTTTGACACTGTCAGGGACCTACCATCTCACTTCCCAATATTCCAGCTCAAATCATCACTCCACCACCTCCTTGCTGATGTCTCAGTCTTGTTGGAACAGGGTGGCCATTCACCAACCATCCTGACCTCCATCCATCTGGACCATCAAGAGTAGCACGGCATTCGTCAGTGAATACAACTGTTTGAAAATTATTCGTCATGTAATTCTGAGCCCATTGCAAACATTTCTCTTTGTGAGTTTTGGTTAGGGGTGGTCAAAATGCAGCTTTATGTACAAATGCCAGCCTCTGACGGATCCTGCATCGAGAGGTTTTTGGGACTCCAGAGACGCCAGCAGCTTCAAATACCCGTTTGCTGCTCAACAGTGGCTTTTTTATAGCTGCCATTTTAATAACATTAATTTGTCTGACAGAAACCTTTCTTTATAAGCCTTTATCTGATCGAATTCTTCTGTGCTGTGAATCACTCACAAATCCTTTGACAGTTCGATTATCTCTTTTCATTTTCCGTGATATATCAATTGTTTTCATCCCTTTTGCGAGACATTGCTCTAGTTCACGCTTTTCATCTTCAGAAAGATCTTTCTTCCTCCCCATATTGCATTAAAACTGTGACTTGTTTAATAAAGTGGAACAACCTCTTAATGTAGGTTTCCCTTTAACTAAGATCACCTGGCAAACTAATTAACTAACCTGTCTAAGATTGATACCAGTTATCTTAAAACATGAGAAATAAAGCAAACAAACACTTTCTTTGAAAAAAACTAAAAGCTGAATAGTTATTTTAATCAAATCCTACTGATATGTTACTTGCATAATAATTTGGAACATGGTGTAGAATCAACACATTTTCAACATAAAATCAATCTAATTGGTTTGCTTATCTAACGTTGAAATTATGTTGATTTCAGTTGGGTAAAATGACGTTTAACAATAAATATATTTGCAACTTCTTTTAAAAATATCTCTAACTTAATATTAATAGGTAAATTAGCCTGTATATGGAAATATATATATATTAAACCCACATCACACTCATCATTTTTTTTTTTTTAGTTATACAAAATACAAATAATATTATTTAAATATATTTAAACTAAAATGCACACAAAAAGGAATAAAAGTAAATTATAGGCTAATATCAAGTTACAAAAGCTACATTTACTCAAGAATAAACTTGTCATGTTATATTACCAAATGTGTTTGATTTCTATTTTCAGTGGAGCACAAAAGAGATGCTTCAAAAGGAGACAGCCTCAGTCACCATTCACTATCATTGCTGCGTTTCTATAGGCTATAATAAATCAATGGTCACTAAGAATATGCAAGTCCCTCCTTCTGTGTTCCACAAAATTAAGACAAATGGGCAGAGCCAGTCCTAGCAGTTTGGGGGCCCTAAGCAGATTTTCAAAAGGAGCCCCCACTACCTATGATTTCACCTAACCACAACCCCCCATCCTACAATGTGCATACCTTTGTTATGCGCCCCTTTAAAAAATCTAGGGGTAAGAAGAGGTGTGTAACAAAAAAAAGTGAGGAGTGGCTGAGAGGACTGCCGTCTGCAGGTCCCAGGGCAGACACACAAAAATCCTCAGCAACACCAGTTTCCAAATAAACCAAGGTATTTTATATGACAGAATGTGGGAAATAATCAAACAAAGGCTTCGGGAGGGGAAAAGGCCAAAACAATAAACAAAAAAGTATGCTTACTAGATTTAAGAAATAGCAAAGGAAATAAGAAAAAATACAGAGATCCTTCCCTGTCTCCCTCTCTAATGTAAACACAAGAAAAGGCATCCACCTCCATACAATAAATATTCCCACTTAAATGTGTAAAATAATGGTAAACAGCTAGAGCACTCGGATGGCTCTATAGTAGGGTTGGGCGATGTCTACCAAATTGGCATCGGACGATGTCTACAGTGAAACATTGTGATGGACGATGATATCGGGGGGCGGGGTTAGGGAGTGTGCCCGAAGCGTGAATCCATAAGCAGAAAGGCATGGAAAACAAATAACGCGTTCTACGGAGCCACTAAAGCAGGGGTGCCCAAACTCGGTCCTGGAGGGCCGGTGTCCTGCAGAGTTTAGATCCAACCCCAATTAGACACACCTGAACCAGCTAATCAAGCTCTTACTAGGCATGCTAGAAACCTCCAGGCAGGTGTGTTGAGGCAAGTTGGAGCTAAACTCTGCAGGACATCGGCCCTCCAGGACGAGGTTGGGCGACCTCTGCACTAAAGGGACATGGTTAGCCGCTTGCTAGCGGTAGACTGTTACATTACAGTACACGAAAGTTCACTTTTACGTCTCGACCGATCTGGGGTGGCAATCACATAATCAGTGTCACTCAGTTTTCGTACAACAGTATATGGCCCTGAACATTTTGCAACAAACACGAGGCCGGAACTGGCAGAAGGACAAGAACACGGTCACCAGGGCTAAACTTACGGTCAATACTTTTCCTATCAAAGAGGGACTTCAGTTTTATCTGGGTGGCACTCAAATGCTTTTTTGCAATGTCCCAGGCACCATGCAGACGCTCCCGGAAAGAACTGACACAAAACATGGGCGGGCATTCTACAAGATGTTGGTTTTGAAGACATTCAAAACTGACTTATGGTCTTTGTCAATGCAAACATCACCTATAATCACCCTAACCTTAATGTAGCCTCTGTGCAACTTTGTTGTCTCACTTTGTGTACACGAATCATATCTCTTCCCAGCAATATTAAGATCTGAGCATCCGGATCTAACTTCAGAATTATTGTGCCACAGGCCTCAAATGTGTACAAGTGAGAGCGACCTCAGGATTTGGGAATCTCAGATCTATTGCTCATGATCTCATTGCACTCAAGGTCCAGACACAAGTTACCATCCAAAGCTTCTATTTTGAAATAGGTTGGCTTTCTTTGCAGTCATCTCAATGGATCCAGCACAAGTTTTCAACAAGTATGGCGAGAGGCTGCTTTGGATTCCAAACAATTCATAGTTTTCACATGACGTCACACCCTTACAGGAACGCCCACATCGAGTCAAGTCACGTCACCATTATGTATAGCGCTTTATACAATACTGATTGTGTCAAAGCAGTGTCAAGTGTCGAGGAAAATCGTTTGTCAATAATGCAAGAAGGAGGGCAAAACAAGGCTTTCCTGACAGTTATTTTTACGAGGTTTGCATGAAGTAGTAATGTAGTAAGACAGTAATATTTTAAGGCCAAATATACCTTATTGATGATGCATACTTTGCACAGGCAAGCAGATGAACCCAGAATATAAATGCAATGTGCAAAGTCTAATATTAAATGTTTTCCCAAAGAAAACCATTCTAAAGAAAACACTGAAACATTTAGCGCATTGCGTTCATATTCCGGGCTTATTTGCTCTCCTGTTATAAAGCATGCATCATCAATAAGGTGTGTGCTGAATTTGATCTTTTAATATTTTAAAGGCACTTTAAATGTTTTCACATTTAACGTTTTAGAATTGCGGCGGGTGCTTTATATGGATTGCTAATGGCCAAAACCTGCATTTTGTTCACATATCTTTGTTTTATTCTTTTGAGAGGTGATCTAAATATTTTTGGATTGGAACAGATGGAAATTTGACAGGCTAGTGCTGCAGGTCTATGGATGTTTTGCCCTCCAGGTCTTCGAGTCAGTCACATGGCATGACTGAAAACTATGAATTGCAAGAACTCAGATTTGGCCAGTGACCGATTACTCTGCAACGTTTTAGGTTTTACGGTTTTAACTTAAATTTACAGTTAAATACCGTAATTTCATTAACTGATATAATGTTAATATACCAACCTATTGAAGTACTGAAATCTGTTTTGCACCTTTGTAATACACTGATCACCACCAAATGCAGGTGGTGATGAGAAAGTCACATGATGAACCAAAGCCCATCACAAGCAGCTTTTAAATAATAACATATATAGAAGGTGCACAGTGTCATTCACACAAATGCTAAACACCATCATGGTAACACACATGAAACTGAAATAATGCAATAAACATTCATTTAACAACATTAGGTGTAACACACAACCCTAATATACAAAATTGATAAGAAAAAACTAAGAAGAAACATAGTTATTTCAACAAAAAAACATCAAATTTGAAATGTAACGCAGGGAATTCTGGGAATGTCAATTTACGGTTAATCACTGTAAATTATACAGTCTTTTTCACTTCCAAAAATGGTATACTACCGTAAAATTAATGTCCAATACATGTAATGTCCAATACAGTTTTTCACCGTATATAGTAGGGGAATTTACCGTTAACCATTTAACAGGTTTTTACTGTAGCATTTTTAGTCTTTTACCGTTAAATTCACGGTCATTTTTTACAGTGAGCAGGAGCAACACTATCTTGCTATTCAGTGGCTGGTTCTTGCATAGAAGATGTAGAGGGGAGTGGAGCAGTGTCAGGATGCATGGCTGTGCAATGTCTATCAGACTCGCATTCAGTGCATTTAAGTGTCACATGACATTCTCTGGCAATATGATTTGGAGAGCAACACTTAAAACATCTTTTGTGCTCTTTCAGGAGGTTCTTGTGCTCTGTTAATGGTTTTCTTCTGAAGGCTCTACATTTCTGAAGAGGATGCAATTTGTTATGAAGAGGGCAGTGTTTAATTAAATCTTTTTTGACAGTGTCTGGAATATTGGAAGAATTCCAACTCAGCATTTGTAGACACATTTGTCTTGTGCACTGACACAGGGGCTTTGGAAATACTGTACTTGAACAGAGTACTTTCATTTCTGTTGAAAGTGTGACTACGTTTTGAGAGCATAAAACTTGGCTTTGGCCTCACTGTGTTACAGAGGAGGCTTCCGTACCGCCTCCTCCTCACCACCAGAGGGAACTCTCTCCTGAATATTGACTTTATCCATTCGGACTCTAGTTCCCATCATGCCTCATACCTGGGACTGATTGCACGCACACACCTGCATTGAATCACGCACACACACATTTAAGCCAAACACTCACAGCAACTCACTGCGAAGTCTTGATTTGCCCCGGCTGTCACTTCTGAGCGTTTACCCTGTATCTTGCCTACTCGTTTGACCTTGGACTGTTTATCGTACTCTGATCTGTCTCTGCCTGCCCTGACCTGGATTGTTCTACTACTGTGTTTGTCTGCCGCCTGCCTCGACCTCCTGCCCATCCCACTTTCTGTCTCAGCCTAGCCTTCGCTATTGTATCTACTGGTGATTGACCCTGTCTTGTCTGTTTACGCAACAAAAACGCTGCAAATGGATCCCGACTCTGATGATGATTCGCAACACACTGCAAACAAAATGTGTAAAGAATGAGAATGGAGGAAAGCTAACCTTCTTCTCATCCTTGTATTGTGAGACAGCGAACAATCTCCTGCAGGTTCACAGGCAACTTCTTAACTATAGGATTAATACCACGGGGGGGTATCAAGAACAAGCCAATCCAGGCAGGTATTCATCTCCTTTAGCTGCAAGCAACTCCATAAGAAGGTCACCAAGCTCTTTAAGTTTTGTGTGATCTTTTGAAGACAGACAAGGAAAGCTATCTAGACGTTTGATCAGGGTGCTCTCTATCACTTCTGGAGTGGCATAGGTTTCTTGAAGTCTTAGCCAAGACAACTGAAGAGCAGCTTGCGGGTTGGTGACATATACAACTCGTATCCTTCCTACATGTTCAGACGATTCCTTACCCTTATCTCGCTCACTTTCTTTCCTATTTTTCCTATTCCCTTGCAGCAGATTGATAGAATTGCTGCGCTGCCGGCGTCACTTTGACACGAGCAGGAGGACCTACATTGGACCTACAATCTGGCAGCATTTTTAGCTGGGTATTTTGAGATGAATTAAAGAATGCATTTTAGTTTCTGCAGAACAAAATGAATAAAACATTTTTTTTAAATTCACTACAAAACTCAATTTAAAATGTGTCTGTCATTGTTTTAGAAACGTTCATCTTCCACTTCAAAGCCTATTAGTGATAGCCTATTATATTCAGTAATAGACAGACAAACCACCATATAAAATAATGAATAAAATACATTTATTCTAACCCTTTGAGTAAATTTTCTGTTTCTGGGTGAACTATTCCTTTAACATTGATTGCAACGGTTATTATTGTAATTTGCTGAGTTGCAATTTAAAGACTTTGAACACAGGATATGAATTTGTTGTCCACCCTGAAAAGTTAAAGGGATAGTTCAGAAACAAAGCCAAAACAAAGCTAAGGCAATAATTAAAAAAGAAATGAAGAAATGGCAGGACAGATGGGACATGCATAGTGGAAGGAAATATTATAGTATTCAGAAATGTATCAACGCACATGGTGTGAATGGAAGGAATAGAAGGGAGTCAGTTCTAACCAGGCTGAGGTTTGGCCACACAGGGTTAAATAAAACATTGTTTTTGTTAGGTAAAAGTAAATCAGATGAATGTATGGAATGTAAAATCACAGAAAATGCAGAACATATATTGTTATATTGTAGGAAGTATAGAGAAGAGTGGATTAGATTAAACCAAAAGATAAGTCAGACAGGAAGAAAATGGAACCTTGAGGGTATTTTGGGAACAACAGAAGAAGGGGTTAAAGATGCACAGCATGCTGTTGTGGAATATCTGAAGGATACAGGGGTATATTATAGGATTTAGATCAGGGGTGCCCAAACTCGGTCCTGGAGGGCCGGTGTCCTGCAGAGTTTAGCTCCAACCCTACACACCCGAAGCAGCTAATCAAGGTCTTATTAGGCATACTAGAAACTTCCCAGCAGGTGTGTTGAGGCAAGTTGGAGCTAAACTCTGCAGGACACCGGCCCTCCAGGACTGAGTTTGGGCACCCCTGATTTAGATAGTAGTGCTATAATATTTATTTATTAATTATTTGTATTATTATTATTATTTTTTATTTTTTTTTATAATGTAAAGTGCATTCATTGAGATATAATCCATGCTGCATACTCTGATACAGTAGGTGGCGGAATGCACCTGATAAGTCATGGTTGCAATCAGCCATAAAACTAAAAAGAAGAAGAAGATTAGAGGTATGTTACACTAAGGACCTGCAGGCGGCAGTAACGTGCGGCATATGCTCGAGGATGACAGTGGCGTCACGAAGAAAAGGACGCTGCCGTTATCCTCACTGTCCGTTTCCTTCCGTTCTCATGAAGTACACAGTCAAATATTGTTGTTTTAATGTGTTTGATTAAATAATTGGGATTTCATATTTGATTACTGAAAAAGCAAAAACACACTAAGGTAAGTGTATTCTTCTGTGGATTTATGACGAATAAAGCGGCTGTGATCAACGCTTCATAGATGTATATTGTATTGCGCAGGTCAATTATTTGTCACTCAATCGTTTATCATATCACGCGAATTAAATCCCGTACTCACGTTTCTTCATAGTGTGGAAAGACTTGGTTGAAATCCAGCTGGAAGCCCTGTCAACTTTAGCAACAGATATGCTAATTTAAAGACATTACCTGTTTAAATGAAGTGTTATCTTCAGAAGATATGAAGGCGTTTGAAATTATGAGCACCAACCTGTGTGAACGTCGAGCATCCTACAAGCCGTTCACACACGAGAAGTGTTTAATGGGTTTCTGCTTTCATAAGCTGGTATAATTCCTTTGCTGGCCATAGATTTTGAGGATTGCAGTATCAAAATCTGGAAAGAAACCTTTCTAGATTGATTTAGTCGGCAGTTTGTTTTGATTAGCTTGGACTTTGCATGTTCAGTCATTTTGCATCCTGTCACCCATCTTCCAAACAAACTTTGTCTAATGTAGGGTTGCAGCCAGGGATGCTGGAGCGATGGCCAGTCCATCACAGGGCTAACACACACAGACATAGGCTATATTACACACATTCACACTCCTATTTATGGGGACAATCTAGTGTCTCCAATTTCATCTATCCTTCATGTCATTGGATTGTGGTGTAAAACAGGATTACCTGCAGAACACCCATATCAACACAGAGAGAACATGCAAACAGAGTTTGATTCGTTCAACTTTGTGTAAGACACACTCTGAAATTTAATTAATTATTTATAGGTAATCATATGGACTACTCATTCATCTGTTTCAGTCATGTGACTTTTTCTGCTCATCTGCAATCCGACATATTTATGACCTTCAAACACATGAACAGAAACACCAAGATAAAATACTGATCAATGGATTCTTCTGTACCAGGTCCAAGAAGACATTACAGCCCTTTTACCAGACTGTATTTACATGCACAAATATATTCCTTAAATTACCTGAATAACCACATCTACTTGCAATTTATAATACTGTGACCAGACAGTATCTTGTGATAAAATTATGACCTCTTTTCCCCCCCTATGGGTTGTTTTCAGATGGGTGAGGTGGAGTTGTCCTGTCTGGCTTACGCCAAAATGTACCTACATGCAAGTCAGTTTCCTCGCTGCAGTGTGAATGGCCTGCTGTTGTCCTCCAGTCCAGCAGGGGGAGCTGTATGTATCACAGACTGTGTGCCGCTGCTCCACACTCACTTGTCTCTGGCTCCAATCACACAGCTCGCTCTTACACAGGTAAGTGTGCCTTTAAAGCAGCACTAATGGCACTTTTCCACTGCATGGTACGGCTCGGTACGGTTCACTTTTGGGGGGTTTTCCACTGGGTACAGTACCTGGTACCTGGTACTTTTTTTAGTACCACCTCGGTTGAGGTTCCAAGTGAACCGTACCGTTACCAAAACGTTGCGCGTAAACTCAGGTGATCACGTATTGGCCGGAGAGAATCGTCACTACCTGCGTCACTGAACTTGCGACACAAACACAAAAGAACCGCTAGATTTAAATCAGCACAGCCAGCGAAGGATCGAACGCAACTGAACGAGTGCACCTTTTTTTAACAACCAAAAAGTGGCTGTTGAGCCTGTTCAGGAAGTCCTCTCGTTGATAGCAGAGGAGTGGATCCAGCAAGAGCTTGA